AGCAGAACTCCTTCTGCCTTTGCTCTAGCTCACTTAACAGACAGAAGGCTTTGTCATTCTTCCAGAGAATTTGTCAACTGCCTTCAGACCTTAAGACGTTGCTCACTACCCAAGGTATTGCAAGTAATTTACATGTAGTCTTTCCAGGAGTCATACTTCTGTGTGACTTCTGTGACTGTAAACTTCAGTTTACCAGCTTCCTCTTCAACAGCACGTGACTGCCAAATACATATACTATTCTTTTACCTTTCTAATAAATGACTAGGTCTAAATAAATCAGTAAAACTCTGTATGCCCACTGGGCCTCCATTTCTTGGGCATTTCTTGCAAGCTGTCACAGTCTCTTCAGGCACTCAGGATACAAATTCTTACACAAGCTTGGAGTCCTCTCAAACTCAGCAGCTAGAATCACTTTCTTTGACTATGACCATAGAATAAAATGACCCTTCTTTTCTGAAAGTGCATTGCCTTTCTTCTAGTCTCTCAGCCTCATGGTCAGTTGCAAACTAACAATAATGCCAAGTCTACTTCTTTCAAATTTTGGGGAGAAATTCCGCCATTCCCTCCACAAAATATAGAATAAACTAGCTACTTCCCTCACTACTTGAAGCCATTGATGTTGATGACTATCAGCCTTGACCTGAGACAAAATGACATTGCTTATCATTTTCTTCCAAGAAACCCATGGCTCAAATAGACAGTAGTCACTGATGTGATCATTACAGATGTGCTTTAGATATTCCAGGAGGAGAAGAATCTTGTGGACAGAGAACAATGAAAGTCACTATTTAAAAAACTATTTTTAAATCAACATACTTCAATTGCCTATATCACTATGTCATGGTTCAGTTGGGATAGAGGTAACTTACTTACTAGCAGGTGTGTAGGTCTATGTTTTGGATTTGGGATGAAAATAGTGTTGGTAAAACAGTGGTGTTTTTAGTTGTTGCTAAGCAATCAAGGCCTTTTCTGCCCCTCACACCACCCCGCCAGCAAGGGCTGGGGGTGCACAAGAAGTTGGGAGGGGATACAGCCAGGACCGGTGATCCCAACTGACCGAAGAGATATTCCATACCATGTGACATCATGCTCAGCATATAAAGCTGAGGGAAGAAGGAGGAAGAGGGGGGATGTTCACAGTGATGGCATTTGTCTTCCCAAGTACCATTAGGGATGATGGAGCCCTGCTTTACTGGAGATGGCTGAACAACTGCCTGCCCATGGGAAGCAGTGAATGAATTCCTTGTTTTGCTTTGCTTGCATGCACAGCTTTTGCTTTACTTACTAAACTGTCTTTATCTCAACTCACGAGTTTTTTCTCACTTTTACTCTTCTGATTCTCTTCCCCATGGCAACTGGGGGGACTGAGCAAGCAGCTACATGGTCCTATCTGCCAGCTAGGGTTAAACCACGACACTATGGTATTTGAGTATTCTACTATTACTGATTTATCTGAAACACGAAACTCCCCTGAAGAAAGGGAATCTTACAAAGTATCTTGAAAATGGTGCTAATGTTATTCCATTTCTTATATGCCTTGTCCAGAAATTAGTGAGGGACTCTGATGCAGAACCTACTCTCTTGAGTTGCATTCTGATCACGTCTACCAGACTTCATTTTTCTCTTGCAGTGTGATTATTGGCAAGTCATTAAGCTTCTTTTGGCTATTTTTTTTTTTTTAATCTGTGAAATAAGGATAAATAGTATATTTCATAAACTACAAGTTCTACTCGAAATACTGATGTCTAAGAAGTGTCAGAGAAACAATTTTATGACAATTCTTTTAATGAATTGCAAGTCTTTTTATAGCAACATTCGGTGAATATTTAGCCTTGAATCAGGGGTTTAGCTGTTAGCTGCAGCACTTTTACTATAAACTGTGTATCACAACTTTTTTGCTAAACCACAAACTCTTCAGAGATGGAAACACACTAAAAGAGAACATGGTTAAACAAAATGCAGTTTTTTTTTTTTCTTTTCAAAAAACCCCTCAATTTCCAAACTTTCACTCCCCTCCCCCACTTACCCATAACATATAGTTCTATCTTCAACTGTGACTAAGATTCAAAGGTTATCTTTAGCTAGAGTTCTGTATTTGCTAATTGTTCCAGTAATTTCTCCAGATTTCTCCATTTGCTTTTATTATGCAGCCAATTAAAATCTGTAAGAAGTGGCTCATACATATGAGAGGCTAGACCACAAGGATGAGAATTTTGAATATGCCTCAGTTCTTCCAATGGCAGCATTGCTAAGTCCAGATGTTTAAAAAAAGAAAAAGGAGTCGGAGCCAAGAAATCCCCTTACTGTTAATCTGTTTACTGAAGACAATTACGATAGGACATTCTGTGTCACAAATAACACCAACAGTATTCTTCAGTTTTTTTCTGTTACTTATTTTGCCATCCTAAAGTAGTTACTAAGTACATTTCACAAAGCTTGATATGTAGTTTTATAAGATAAACCATATTTCTGCGCTGATATTATTTTGAGCCTGCTATATAATTCATCTTTAAAAATGGGGGTGGGGAGCGTGGGGGGGTGGGGGTGGAAATCCTTCGAGAAATTTTTTTTCTTATACTCCAAAACAAAATAAAATGGTCCTAAGAAAAAAAAAAAAAAAAAACCCAAGCAACCAAAAAACCCAACAACAAACCCACAAACCAAAAAAATCCCCAAACCCTACCATCTGGGAAATGTAAAATCATAAGCTAACTAAATCAAGACAAACCTAATGCTAAAGTATGATCACATCACATTTTCTACTTCAGCCAAGTGTGTCAAGCTTAAGTAAATACTCAGCTACTCATATGTGTGTGCATGCATGCTATATACACACATAAACACACTAATATTTTCATATTTATATGTATATTTCTATATATGGGTATATATTAATTGTGTGCAATTCTGTGCAAAAACACCAAAGAAATCTATTTACATGGGTCTTGCCTATTACAAACATGATTATTTTTTAATTTGTTTTTTCCAAGAATAGAAAATTGATTGGCTTTCTAGGAATAATAAACAGCCAATGACTGCAACACACACTACCAGCAGATATTTCTATTGAATGAAAAAAGCTTCGCATTCCAAATAAAGACAATACAAAGGCTCTGACGTATCTGGCATTTCTCTGTAACATAATTTTTCAGCTTTTTTCTTAAAACTAAGTCTTCAATATAACGCAAACAGTTTCCTACGAAGAGAGCCCACTACGGGAAAAGCAGAATACTAAACAAAGAAGTTAAGCTATATTCCATCAAACATTTCTCCATTTGCAATTCATCTTGGTAATAGAGATAGAACCTGGTAAATGCATATAGGACTTGAAGCAGGAGATTTCTCTTGCTCAATGCATAATTCATGTGCTCCGCCTGCAAAGTGTGTAAAATGAGAATTTCACACCGCAGCATGAGCCATGGAGCTGCAGAGAAAAGGCAGATGAAATCATATTTTGCTGTGCGAATTTTATTTCTTATCCTCCCAATATTTATACAAAACCATCATTGACAATCCAAATGCATTGACAGATCACCCACTGTTTCCATTGTGTTAGCACTTGAAAAAGAGATCAGGCAGAAAGAGAGACAATTTGTTTTTGTATATTTTTTAAATAGTGGATCAGGCTTTTAACAGCTGAGTGACTGTATTATACTTGTATAAGGAGGTCAACAGTAGCTGATTTTAAAATCCCACTGTAGAGACACCTACTTATATATGCATCATCCTCAAATCTGCATTTTAGCTCTACAGTATTTATGCTTACAGGATAATATGTATCTGAACACCTCAAACTATCCATGTTTCAAAATGATATAAAACACTGCAGTACAAGAGAGTGACTTTTCTATTCACTGCAGCTCAATTACAGTGAACACAACAGCTTTTTCAAAATAAAATAATAATTCTTCAAGAAAAAAACCACGAAAACATTAATAATGTGTTCAGGAAAAATAATCTGAAGTTTTTGTAACCCATTTTAATGTTAGTAAATGCATGGATGTATGCAGAAATTATGCTCCCATATGAGTGCAATCAAACCTTCTTTATTATGAAAATTCTGCTGAACATGGCAATGGTACCCAACAAAACATATAGAATGGTAAACACCACCCAAAATATCATTTATGTAACATAGTTCGTAATGTGTGGCAAACTGAGAAACTATAAAAATAGAGCCTACTAATTACTGTTTTTATTAATACATATTTCAGATTTTTTTTTCAGTTTTATTTAAAAGGAAAGGAAATCCTAATGAATCATATCCCCATGTACACTGACCAAATTAAGAATACTCTGTAGCAGAATAATATAAGCAATGGCTTTTCCAATAAAAATCTATCAGAACAAAACCACGCATTTCTGAGAGCCTGGCTGAAACAGTCTGCTTGTTGGTTAGCCTGAAGTCAGGTAGGAAGCTGAAAAATTCCAAGATTTTCCTGGAAATAAAATACACATGGGTAGTTTTTGTAAAATATACCTCGACATAAGGGCTCTATACAAGACTTTATTTATAATGTTCTTTAAAGTTTGTTAACAATTGCTTTCTTTCCAGCTTGGAAGGGCTTGTATAAGTTACCATCAGTTAGCTCCACCTATCACCACAGGACTCAAAACAGGTGTCTCTCAAAAAAAATCTATTAAGATAGTTAGCATAACAATTACCTTTCACACAAAATACCTGTGATTCTTCCCCCCAACCCTCATCCAATTACACTTCTGAATATAACCAAATATCAGAAACACCTTAAGTACAAATGCAGGCAGCCAACATGGCTTAGATGGAAACTAACTTCATGGTCCTAGAGATTAATACAGAACATAGAGGACTGTTTCAGTGTGCAGGATCCTCAAATTAACTTCCTCCCTGCCCCCTTCATATATGACCATTGCTGCTTACAGTCCATCAGCAATAGATGTTGCCCTTACACTAAAGGTGCTAACTTCTTAGTGAAAAAGAATTTAAGGAACATAGACATTTAGCTTTTGCATAGTAAGCTCTATGCTATGTTTTCTTTTCAATAACCTCCTTGCTTCTTTTCTTGCTGCCATGCATATAAACCCATTGCTATTTATTTTAATGTTTTTTGTAATGTTTAAAAGCTTTGCAATTTTTCAGTTCTACCCTTTGACTCTGGTCAAGTCTTCCGCCAATTGCTTATAAATACTTTTTGCTCCTAACACATTTCTTTTTAGGTGCTTCTTAATCAAGTAAGACTTCAGAACCACTGCAATGTTCTTTCCCTTCTCTTAAAATCCAAGGGCTTGACAATTTTCCATTGACTTCAATAAAACCATCCCAAGCTTCTTGGTTCTCATATTCTTCTTCCGGTTCTCATGTTATTCAGTATATTTGACTTCACACATTCTGGGCTGCTGTTTTAAAATACAAAAAGCTTCTTTATGCTAGTAGTCCTCACATATCCTGCAAAAGAACCTAAACAGTTTAGACAACTGTAGTGAAAAGAAATTATTAACAATGGCGCTGTTATCCTGAGAAAAATGGACAAATGCAGCAGAGAGAAGATACTGTTGTTTGAATATGGTTTACTTTCTGGTGAAAAAATACTGTCCTAATGTAAGAAGCTGCAAACTGTTAGAATTAATTCATATCCCATTTAGTGTCAAGAGTTTATTCTGAGAGGAGTTAGGTTACATTTGTTGTGTTACCATTTTTTGACAAGATCCAGTTTGGCTTCTCTACTAGAAAAAACCTTGACATAGGTGCATTACCCAGTGTAGTATTTCGGCAGGAAACAATGTTCAAACCATGGAAACACACCTCTAACACTACAGTACCACTTCATCTTTTGTTCTACTTGGTAGAAGGGAACAGATTAAATGTTAAGGTTGCAACTCAGAGTTCCTAAATGGGACCTATAAAGTAACAAAACAAAGACCACATACAACATAAGTTCAAAATTTAGAGAAACAGAGAGCCTTACCTCCCCAATTAAAGAAAACACACACCGAAATAGGTTAATAAAGTTACAGCCTTCCCTCTTAACTGTTCAAAAGACAGCTGTCCACCAGCTTCTACAATTGCATCAAAAGCAACAAACAATGTCTGCTTTGACTATTCAACAACCTATACAGGAGTCCTGACTGAAATGTCTTGGCTTATTTTAAAATGCATCAGATACCATTTAATTTTCAAAACAACATATCACTATTAAAATGGGAACTTCTGAGCTACAATTCTACCCTTCAAATTTTTAATAAAATATAGAGAAAGAAATGCACAGGAAATATTTGGTAACACAAAAATGAGTTTCAGAAATTTTTACTCTTCTACTTCAACAGATTTGGCATAAAATTCCTCACTTGTTTGTTTTTAAATGAAAGGTAGGTAGAGAAACAGAAACCAATTCATGCTATTAGCTTTAGCTCTATAATGTTAGCTTGAGTACAATGAACTTTTAACCTCTTTTTCTTCACTAAGGTAAGCAATTAAAACTTAACTGACACATGAATGGCTCTGTTAAACATTTTTGCATCTTCACACATTTCTAAATCCAATTTAAAAAAAGACGTATTTGAAAGTTTGCTACTTCATAAATGTTGTAAGAAAGCTAACACTATTTGAAGTAACGAGACCCTTTATAAGCTTTGTTCC